CTTGTTCACTGGTAATTTTCATGACGAAAGTTTGTATTCAAAACGGTTGCTTTCTAAGTACAAAATGTATTTGAAAACAGTTTTGAGCAAGATTGTTTTCGGTCTGGAAATGTACAAAATTGCCCATGGGCCTTTAGTGGCGTAGGTCTCCTTGGAGATGTGGCAGCATATTCATGAGTTCTTAGGTCTCTTTCTCTCCTTATTCCATATTTGGAATTTTTGATTTGGAATATACTTGATTAATCATCAACTGCTCTCAGCATGTCACAAATCAACTTTTACAAAATTATTAAACTTAAGAAACTGTGAATGCTTATGTGCATAGCAGTTTGGTGAAACATTCTGTCATAATCAAGGTTTTAATCTCTATACGCTTTTCATTAATTAAACTTTTAATCATTTCTTTTATGTGATCATGATAACTCTGTCACAGTCACAGGAAATTTCAGCCTTTAAGTTCGTTGCAGTTGTGGTTATGTGGATTTACCACCTGGCAAACACCTGCTAAGGGTTTTGGATCACCTTTTTGGTAGGTTATGGAACACAGTGCAGGGAAGGTAGCCAGTTTGACAATAACTGTAACCAATAAGACTCTGTGTGCTCTAGAAAGACATGAGAAAAGAAATGTTGAAAACCAACTACAGAGGAAACGTTTTCTTTGTTAATGTTGTGAGAGTAGATTAAATATTGGAAAGGACTTCATAATTTGTCTTAATGTGGATATCAGTAAAGGATTTTGAGTTCTGAATTAATAGTTTAGACTATCACAATAGCAATAATATTAATACTAATAATAATATCACCAGACATATGTACAGCTATTACTATGTCCAATAGTGTGTTAGTATTTATGTAGATATAATTTAGGAATAACAAAAACTATATTAGAGGTGTTATGCAAATTTACATTATCTATAATTGCTCTAATATATATGTAATACAATTTGCAATTTTAAAATAAGCAAGGATAAGACAAAGATGATAATGCCGCACAGGCAGAACAGGTTCAAAGCGTCATGCAGCAAGAACATATTTACCAAGAATCTATGAAGGGTTGATATAAATTTGTCTATCCTTTTATTTTCAGCCAATATAGAGGAGAAATATGGTCACAAAATTCACTGTTTTAAGGAAGAGTCAGCTGTTCAAGAGAATGTCAATGATTCCTGAAAAACTAGACCAGAGAAACATTTCCCAGTGGTGAACATGGAGAAAACCCTGCACCTGAGGGGCACTGCCGTGGTACTACCGTGACATAAGCACAGCTTCACCGTAGAGTGCTGGGTGTTAGCCCTTCCGCAGAGGCTGGGTCGCTTACACTGACCCTGTGTTCCGCTGTCCGCTCTCAGACCACCTGGCTTAATCTAGAGCCGCAGAGGCAACCCTATGGCATGTGTGCACAGTGAGCAGGCACAGCCTCTCTGCGATGATGTCACGAGTTGTATGAGTTGTTTTTTCTGAACTAAAACCTCACTATTCAGGTTTAATTGCAATGTTGGCACTTTGCAATGCATCAGTGGGTTTGAGCTGCAGTTTGGGGACTCATTCTCAAAAAGGTTTGCCATCACTGATCTAGAGGGAGATTTCAGTTCACACTTACCCTGAATATGTAAAGGTTCATATCCTTCAGGGAATCTTTAATCAATCATATCTCCTCAGTTGAGCTTTTGGTCTAAATTAGGTAACCAGATTCAGTGTTATATTCCTGGAAAAGTACTTAGCAGAAATCTCTTCTCTGCTGCCACTTCTGTGTAGAGGTATTGGCTTTATAAAGATGGAAATTGTGCTCACTTCGGCAGCACATACACTAAAAAGATGGAAATTGACAGTGAAGAATATGATTGGGCTAGATGAATGTAATGAGACTAGAAGCTGAGAATCAAAAAATCAAAATATTGTATTTGTTTAAGAAAGATTTTCTAGAGAGGGAGAACAGAGAGGAAGAGAGAGACAGAGAGAGAGAGAGAGACTATATTATTGTTTCCTATATTGCACAAAATTTGTGAAAATGCTTGTGCTAGAAGAGTTACAAATGGGGATATTATTTATTAGACATCTGTTCATAAGTGTCAAATGGAGGAAAACTGATGGTTTCCAATTCAGCAGTAATCACACCTGTGTGCACACAGAGAGGTGTGTTTGGCTGAGGCCATCTTTATTGAAAGTCCTGGTCATAAATTAGAAGTCGCTGAGGGTAGAAACAAGTCTACTACAGAGAAATTAACAAATCACTGTATCCAATGGAAGCTTGTTTTTAACTCTGGCCAATGGCAGCAGAATCTAACCAAACAAAATAGAGGGAGCTAATCAGAGAAGCGCAGTGTCACCTCTGCACTGAGCATGACTGATACTTACCATGACCGGATGTGGGGCTTCACTGGCTGCTACCTCAAGGACATTTCTCTTTGTAGAAAGGGGACCAAGAGTCAATTTGGGGAAAATGGAATTTAAGGCATTGGCCAAAGTAGTTATCAAAGCAAACTAATGAAGGCAGCAAGCCAGGAGCCAGTTATCCCGGTGCGGTTATTCAGTTCACGTGAGCAAGAACCTGGGGATCCTGATGAGCCTTGGTGAGCATGAAAAGCCCTTTATTAAACTAAATCGACTCGGTATAAACTCATCATTAAGTCACATGTCCTCTTCTATCAGATTCAACTAGGAAAGCCATGGATGAGATTAATTTTTTAATATAAGAGAGCATTCAAGATGTCTGTTTTCATCTTATTTTTTTCTGGTATCCAAGGAAAATTTGCTGCCATCCGAAAAGATCTTGAAAAGAGAAATGAAAACTGAAAGGTTGCCTAGGACTATCAGAAAGATTAACAAGCCAGACTTCGTAGATAACTGAAAAGAAGGTTTTTCAGACAGTCATTTTCCAAATAATATACCCAGTTACATTGTGGGTGTCTCCTTTCCCACCACAGTTACATTGTTCTTTCGTGTTCTGTGCCAGCTACTGTATCGCAAGATCTAAACAGAGTTTTATGTTTGAGAGCAATGACTTATTTCTGTAGATTTTGATAGTCATTTGAACAGGTCAGGTGAGAGACGAGTCCATTATTATAAATTCCTGCATGAGGAAGGCAGGCCCGGAGCAGGCGGTGGCGGCGGCAGATCTGTCACCTCACCGGTGAGATGCGTGTCAGTTCACGTGTAGACAGAGGCTGAGTGAAAGGTGTTGTCCTGAGAGTGAGGTCGTCTCCATACAAACGTCTCACAGCGGGCGGTTAGCAGAAGCCGGGCCTGTGACATGGGTAGCATCGACTTCCGTGAGGGGCATCTTGGTGACTCATGGTCACCCCCGAGCCACACTGACTCCTGGCCCTGATAGACACAGAGGTTCAGTGCTGCTTCCTGCTGGGAACAGCGCCTTGCTGAGGAGCCGGCCCTTGGGCTGCGTTTCTCTAAAGATGTACTAATAGCTTCCGAGCGAAAAACCTGTCCTGTTCATTGTAGACCTTGACACATAGGATATGCATCTCCAGTTCTTTTTAAAGGTGCTACCTGGGCCGGGATGTAGCTCAGTGGTTCCGCCGCCTGCCTCGCAAGCGCAAGGTCCTGAGTTCGATCCCCGGTACCAAAAAAAGAAACTGAAGGTGCTCTTGGGCCCAGTCAACACTGTTTCTTCCCTTCGCAGTCAGTCCTTAGGTCTTGCTGTTTTCAGGGCATCAGGCGTTGCAGTAAGAAGAGGCGGGTGGTCCCGAATTAGAAGTACCACCCCGGGGCAGCTGGGACACAGCCACTGAGCCTAGCACCTGGGGTGAAGGAGGAAAGAGACTGGGCTTAGCCCAGTGAGAGCAGGGGGCGGGCCCCAGGCCGTGGGCAGGAAACAGAGAGGCCGGGCTGCGGAAGCTGGGAATCTTGCGAAAGGAAACAGCACTGGGTTCGCGGGACCCAGGGACTCAGCTGACTGTGACCAGGGTAAACCTTCAAAGCGATGCAAAGATGGGCGTGGTGTTTTAAAATTAAAAGCCTTGCTGAGTTTGAAGGAGAGCGAAATTTTCTCATCTGTCCACACGGTCAGCTTCCTTTGCATGTGAAATCTATTTATTATTTTCTACATTAATGTAATGAGTTCCAGATTGCGCAGGATGTCCTAATGGAAACAGGATCATACGAGATAACGTGGGGCTTTGCTCCCTAAGCGAGCCCAGCCTAGATCCCTGTGCTGGCCCTTGCCTCTGAGCTGTTCTTCGGTTACCACGTTGAAGGAGGTTACACGAAGGGTAAAATAATAGAAAACTAATCAGGAAATAGGTTTTCACATTGCTGTATTTTATTGTATACTCTTGCCATATTCCACAGCCTAATTCTTCACATTAATAAAATATGTGTCATTTTAAAACAAGGACAATTGAAACCACATTGCACTATAGTTCTGCGTCTTTCTGCGGCTTCCCGAGCGCCTCACCCCGAGCGGTCCTGAGCACGAGCACAGCACGACGCTGCGGACTGTTCAAGGGTTCTTGGCGGGAGGTAGAGACTTCCGGAGCTCTGCCTTCTGTAAACGCTGGATAAATATTACCGACGGGCCAGTTTAGTTCTACAGATGAAAAACATTCAAAGGCAAAAATTATTCCTCAGAAATAAATTCTTTTTCTCCAAAAGCCCAGGGCAGTAACTTCCCGGTAGAGAATAGCACACTGCATACTGGCCCGTCAGTCGGCGCAGAGCTGCAGGGTGGAAATGCGTCCCACGGTGCCTGCCGTGGCAGGCAAGGCACGCGCCAGAGCACACACATGACTGGCTCTGTTAATGGGACGCTATGTTGGGGTAGACCGATTTCTGCGCTTTTCAGACAACCCATAACAGAACGCTTATTCCATCCAGATAGGCACTGGCTTCTGAAGGTTTATGCCCTTGACATTTCTTGGCATCTTCAATCCATTGAAAACTTCCAACCTGGCAGCAAGCAATCTCCTCAAATTCCAAATGCGTTCTTTGGAAAGGTGCCATGACTTCTGTGACGTTTTCTCCTCTTGTTTTCCCACCCCGGCCAGATAATCCCCACGGGCACAGTCTGGAGGAGAGGATCATCTACGGGGTGGAGAACAGCAGCACTTTCCTGGAGTGCAGCCCCAAGTCCCAGCGCGCGCTGGTGTTCTGGCAGTTCCAGCGGCAGAACGAGGAGCAGAAAGAAGAGGTACCCGTGCCTGGCGCAGACCTTCTCTCCAGCACTGCTGTGCCCGAGGGACAGAGCAGTGCTGGCAGCCTTTTGGCCAGCCACAGCTGGTTCAGGGAGCAGTACAGGTTCCCTGTGGGTGGCGAGGTGACCTCGCGCTAGGAGCTGCTGGGATGGTGACTCGTGGTGAGAGTTTCTGCCTCTCTCAGAGCCTCCTGTATCTATCTCACTGTGATCACCTACAAAGTCATCATATTGCATCTCCACTTCAAAACAATCGCATCTTCCTTCTAACTTTTTTTACCTCTGCTCAATTAATTCTTCCTGCCTTCCTCACATCGGGAGGGAGTTGGGAGAAGACAGTAGGGGACAGAGAATGACAGTGCTGAGGTCTGCTGTTACCCCAAGTGGAAAGCCCTGGGGAGCAGCAGGTAGCTTCTCTTCCACAAGAGAGCCGCCGTTTCCTCGGTTCCTCGGTGAGAGCCAGAGGTGTGGACAGAAAACCTCAGTGAGAAAGGACACGGAGCCTTAAACCTTTCAAATGCATTACATAGGTCCAGACTCTGGTTGATTTGCAAAATGTACTATGTACTGGTAATTTTACCAGCATAATGTGACTGTAAAAATACTGCCATTAGCTTTTTTTTGACATGTTAAACAGTCTTTACATAATCACATTGTGCAAATATCAATTGATCTCACACATTGCCAGACTGGGCTTTTAGAAATTTCTGTTGTAAACTGTGTTCAAAACGAAAGTGAGAGCATATTCTCTCATTTATGTCCCATTCAATACCTAATAAATTAAATAAGCACTTAGTCAATTTTAAACTTACTTATTTTCTTCTTGGCATTCAACCACTGAGTTTATATTTCTTTCATTTAATCTCAATAAATTCATTTAAATGCCCCACTCTTTTCTGTATCATGTCTTTCCCGTTTAAGTATTTATTGGTAGCTTTGTGTCACAGTTATATACTTATTTTATGTTGATAAGATAAAACCATATAATTGTTCTTTCCTCCAGTAAACTTGGATACTTAAAACTTTTATAAGAAATCTTACTGAAACAGTGTCACAACCCAATATTTTCCAGCGATCTTAAAAACAGTTGACGGATGCAACTCTTTCCCCAGGTACAAAAGTACTGTCCTTCTCCCTCAGTTGGGGATTTTGTTAACTACTAACTTGCGTCTGAACAAAGAATATGAATTTTCCCTGACAGCTCTAGTATGTTTAGGAAATGCATGGTTGTGTAATGCCTCTCTCTTCCCTACCAGATCAGAGTGGATGAGCACATCATCAGGACTGAGCAAGGGCTCCTGCTACGCAGCCTGCAGCGAAGGGATGCGGGCACCTACCTGTGCCACGCTGTGGAGCACGGGTTCATGCAGACGCTTCTCAAGGTGACGCTGGAAGTCATCGACACAGAGCACCTGGAGGAGCTGCTGCACAGGGATGATGACGGGGATGGATCGAAGACCAGGGAGCTGGCCAGCAGCATGACGCCTAGCCAGAAGGTCTGGTACCGAGACTTCATGCAGCTCCTCAACCACCCCAACCTGAACACCATGGACGAGTTCTGTGAGCAAGTTTGGAAGAGGGACCGAAAACAGCGCCGGCAGAGGCCAGGCCACACTCAAGGGAACAGTAACAAATGGAAGCACTTACAGGAAAACAAGAAAGGAAGGAACAGGAGGACCCACGAGTTTGAGAGGGCGCCCCGGAGTGTGTGAGCTGCATTACCTCTAGAAACCTCGAACAAGTAGCGACTTGCCTAGACAATAACTGGAAAAATGCAATATACACAAACTTGTTCCATGGCATTGCGTGGGTGTTTACAATGGAGGAGAAGTCAACCAAGGTCCGCCAGTTATAAATTAAGTCCATGAGTAACTTTCCTAACAGGCTTTCCCCTAACATCGACAACTCCTAAGAGAGATCACGGGTGAGCACAGATGTTTGCCATAGTGGACCGTTTCCTATGAGAATTCACTGTAAAAGTTCCACCTTCTTCTTTGCCTGAGAAATAAAAATGTCATTTGCCACATTGCCATCTAACGGAGAAAAATTGCATCAGCAAAGCCATTTTATTGAACTAGAAGTTGAAAGTAAACTGCATGGATTTACTGAGCTGACGAATATTCCAAAATATGGTTGGATGCAAAGATATTTTTTGTCTACCAGCACTCATGTTTGTATGTACTGGAGGAAGGAAATAAGGAAAATGATACTGAATGAAATGGCCTGTGGAAATATAAAACACACAAACCATCCACTGTCCAGAGGCAAAATGGAATACACTGATCTACTACTGATGTCTTCTTTCAGCTTTGACCTAAAGATGTATTTTATTAAAACTATAATTTAAATGTACCATGACAGATATGCAGTGAAAATTAGCTGTTTTTCTAAGCTAGAGTAGGTTTTTGTCTTACAGTTACTGTGCTACATAGTTTGCTTTAAAATTCCAATTGTGTGCTGCTTTTTTTGACATTTTGTTTTTAGTTCTGTAAGAGGGATAGCTGGTATTGTTCTAGATACATATATATGTTATTAACCATTAATTCCTAAAACCAAGATATAAATTATGCTTTATTTTTCTGAGGAAATCAAACAAATGAAAGCTGTTCACACTTCCCCTTCTTTACCTAATTTTAACTTGCATAATGTTCTTAGAAAAACAGAACCAGCAAAAAAGCGAAAATTGGTTTGCTAAATGCATTTTATCCTATCTAATGGATCAAAGGAAAGAAAACGATCTGAACATCTCACAAAGATAGTAAGCAGCATCTTAATATAGTTAATAGAAAATGTCTCCTCATTCTGTGCTTGAATGTCAGCATGCTATGTGAGACGTAAAATTCCTCTTATGATCCCACTAGGGATTAAATGGATTGCTTAATGATTGTGGCAAAGACAGAGAAATCAGTAGAAGGCAGGGCGACATCTTAAAGGCAGATTTCCCCACTGTTTACTTCTGAATCAGCTCCTTTTATCTCACCTTGCTGAAGAAAATAACCCATATTGAGAACACATTATTCTTTCCATGCCAGTGGGAACGATTTTATACACACCAGTTTCCAGGAAAGGAACCAGACTCACAAACTGTGAAACTCTTTGTGTGTTGCAAGAGCTTACAGAATGAGGTGAAAGATTTCTAGTCCTTGCCTTGCTTGTTGTCCTGAGATGACTCTGCGCTCCAGGGGTGTGGGGTACCTGGGCCCTTCGGCCTCATGTCCTGCTCCTTAGCATGGCAGTTGGGTGTCAGGAGCCCTCCCCTGAGTCCTTCTCTAGGCACAAAACAACAGCTTCTTGCTAATTAAAGAAGTGACACTGAAATTTAACTCCACTTGTCTTGGGATTCTAATTAACTCAGCCTTAATTTCTCACCTCCGACGACAGCAAATTGTTATTCCCAATCAGCTGAACTATTTCCCAGATGGAAACTCATGTTTCAGTTTTAATGATTATTTGAATAAGCAATTTGTTGACATTTGTTTCAAATAAAAGCCTAAAAATTATCTTCATCCAGTTTTAGGCTCCATTGACTAATATGGTGCTGTTTTGGACATACATTTTCAAAGGGAAGTTGAATTATTAAACTATTTGAAGAGCACACTCCTTACAGGAAACAGTGTTTGGAATATAAATCAAAGAATCAGGAGTGCTCCAAAAATAGCTCATTTTTTTCTACTTTAGTACAGTACCTTAACTGTATTAAAATTCAGTGTTGTATTTCATTCTACATTTGCAGCTGAAACAAATTTATTTGCAATAACAGAAGTATTTTATTTCTTTTTAGTCCTTAAAAATAAAAGGATTTGAAAGGATAGAGATTGTATGATAACTTCATGGACACCGTCCAAAATCTGAAAGCATTTTTTTTAGCATTATAAAATATCAATAGAAAAAGTCTAGACTTTAATTAAAAGTATCAAAAGGAAACAAGTCTACTGGCATGCCTTTATAAACAATCAGGTCTAAGGTTTTGGAAAAGGTGTAGATGTTATGTGCAGGTAACTAACTTTTATTGGAGCCAAAATCTTCTGCCAATGTGTACCGAGAGGGGCAGTTCACACGAAAATGAATCCGTGCCCCACTTAATAATTCAGTTCTAATAGCCACTGGCATATGCCTGTATCATCAGAGATGAAACTTGGTTAAGAGACTCACATGACCTTCAGCAAATTATAACAGCAATCTTAAAGAATGAAAAGATGCACTTCAGAAAGAAAATCATGGCCCTGTGGAAATCAAATGTAAAATGTAAATGCATGTAAATGCACACTTATTGCTTCCTTTAATGTATTATTTAGTGATTTTTTAATGACATGTGTTTAATATTTTTGCTACCTACACATTAGGCAAAAGAGATGTAAATAGTTTTGAACCGAAAAGGAAGAACAGTGTAAAAGACAAGTTTCTATAGGAACTCACTCACTGCAGTGTGCTCGATGTCATCCTGAAGTGCAGGGCTTTCCCACATAGGGTCAAGGTGGCTTATGTATTACTTCAGGCTGGAAGGTGTATGCTCATTCAGTAAGCATGCATTTTGCCAGGTAGTAAATATGTTCCATATCTATATTTATCATTGCATTTCAGATGGGAGCTAAAGAACTGGAGAGTCAAATGTAATGAAACCGCTGCTGTAAATTATTCCTTTTAGCATGCATTCACTTGCTAAATACACATTTCTTCAAAATATTTGAATTCAGATGTCTTTACTGTTCCCTGTAACATATGGTGTTCAGGAACATAAGCTTAGGAAATTTTGAAAACCAGAATCAGGTTGCTATATAACTAGCTAACAGATTTCTTCATTGTAGTTATCTGTAAATTGGATTCTATATTTATGGTGATGATACAAATTTTTATGCCCTTTAAATTAAATATTGTTCCTTTTTATGTCATATCTAAAAAGAAAATATAGGAATGAAGTTCTATAATATGTCATTATCATAATAAGTTTGGTTTCATTCCGAATCTGCAAAGATGTCAGATTGTTATTGTTGTTGCCTATCCTGAAGGTCTTGGAAAAACATTTTATCACTATGGAGTCATTAGTACAACATTTGAAATCTTTGTCATATTAATTCATTTTTTAACACAATTTCAATTTAATGGAAATCTGTCCGGCTTCATGGCTTCAAAGACACATTCAACAAATAGAGCTCAAAATAACCTTATTGTGTAACAACATGCTAGGTATAAACCAACATGCCAAAGGCATCCATGTTTTTATTTTACCTTTGTCTGTAATCATTATTTAAAGTCAATGTTAATGTTTGCAAAATAACATGTTTCCATAAAGAAGAAAACATTATTTTTTAAAAAGTCTGTAAGAATCCTACTAGTTTGTTTGATTTCTACCAGTGTTCGTGTGCTAATTAATTAGAGAGACATAGTTTCACATGATGGGTGGAGAGGACCCCAAAGACGTGGAGAATGGAGCTCTGTTCGGGCGCAATCGGCCACAGGAGAGCGAATGTCTTCTCCGTTTCAGACGGGATCACCTGAGCGCACCGAGACCGGGCTCCTGAGCACTCGGTCCTTTGGAACCAGACTCACGGGTCCCAGGGGTGGCCCTGGTCCTAACTGTTCCCTTAGGGGAGGAGATGCTGGGTAAGGAGGCTGGACCCATCCTACAGCTCACAGCGAACGAGGGAAACTGAGGCAGGTTACCGTCTGATCCGCAAGTCTCGGGCAAGGCCGGCCCAGCCCTCGCCGCAGGCCCCTGTGATCGCTGCCAAACGCGCTTCCTGGGGCCTCTGCTGGGGTGCACACGATCCCTGGCCCGGTTTCCAGGCCCTGAGCTCCTCGAGGCTGGACGGGCGTCTCACTGGTTTCCATCCAGGGCGCTGCGTGAGGCTGAGCGCAGAGGAGGCGCGCAGGAGGACCCCGGAGGGGACCCCAACCGGCCTGGCCGGGCGGGGAGGGGGAGGGGGAGAGGCGGGCTGTGAGGGGCCCGCCCGTCCTTCCGGGCCTTGGGTTCGAGTCCTCCGTGCCCTCCCGCTCCCTTCCTCTCCGCCAGCGTTGCCCTCACTTTACCCAGCCAGAGCCTGGGTACTGGCCCGTGTCCATGCGCCCCCTACAGACTAGACCTTGGACCCTGGCCCGAGCCCTGGTGCCCCACCCCAGGCTGCCTCTGGGGCTGGGACCCGTGGATAATGGGAACCGGGGCGCGGCCGGGGGGCCGCTCTGTGCTCGTCCGTCCGGGCCCAGCTGCCTCCGCCTGGGCAGCGCGGGGTCTGCAAAAGGAGGATTGAAGTGTGAAGTCGTGTTGTTCCAGGGATCCCTGGGTGGAGTAGTTCGTGGCTGGACAGTGCTGCAGGTGAGATTAGCACACACGGGCATAGACTCCTATTTTATACAAAAGTTTAAACAACATTTAAATATGAGGGCTGGCTTCATCCTGAATCTGTCAACCCCACCCCACCATTAAATTAAACTGTCATGTTTTTTCTCATATAACAAAAGAATGTATTTTATTTCTCTTAATCTAAACATTATACTTGCAGATGCAATGTTTATTTATATAGTACCTAAGCCAAAGTTCTCCCGAGTGTGTTCCAGTCATCACGGCTCGAGGAGTCCTGATGTCTCGACCTCTCCCTCCTTTGTAAACCCTGCTGAGCTCTAGACCTCAAGTAAATACATGTGAAAATCCAAGTCGCTTGTGCAGCCCGCTTCTTAATGCTTTGTTGCTTTTGTTGATAGCTAAATCCAGAGAGATCTAAACTATTTTAGGCAAAGTTTGTGTCTAAAATTCAACAGCTTTTTCACTTTAGGTTTGTGTGTGTGTGTGTGTGTGTGTGTGTGTATCTCAATTTTCAGAGAGAGTACATCCTTCCTTTCCAAAAAAGAATGACAGTTTTACTAGGCTTCAAATACTGCATTCATGCGGTGTTTTAAACTGTTACTAAATATGAAAAAATTAATTCAAGTCCAGATCTCCACATCCCTTCTAATAAATTACAAGTGAGTTTGGCCCTGACTATTCACAGGGTGCGTCTTTGTCGTGTTTCCATGATGCCATCAACCAGTGTCAGAATCACCACTCCTTTTATTCTTTGCATTACTTTTGAAATTAATCACACATCAGTTGAAATTATTTATTCTTTCTTTGGTTTGGGAAGTGGGTTAAATTACACCTGTGAATGTTGCATGGGATCACAAAGCCAGTACCCTTCAGAAGAAACGAGCTGTCAGCAAGTATCCTGAATTCTTACAATCAGGAAACATCTTTAGGGTAATGTATCTGTTCCCCTCGGTGGAATCTGGAATGTAATGTGAATTGTTTATGTACTCCTTTCTTTCTAAGCTTCTTTTTGTCACTAGACATTGCTTATTCAAATTATGTCACATTAGGTAGCTCCTTATTCATTACTGAGACGTGTCTTTACATCTTCATGGAAATATCTATACCTTTTTACAGAATTATTGATTGAAAGTACATATCAAGCTTAGAGAAAAATCTTTACATTTTATTGTAAATTAATGTTATAATATTAAATAGGTTCAACATAGACAGAGACCGAAAAGGATTCATATATCCTGCCCTGAAGTTTCTGCCTAAAGGCAGTGCTGTTACACTTTTATATCACTTTATTATGTTCCAGGTATTTCCATGGCATTTTTTGAAGCAACTCATGCAAAGAAGGACAGTTTTATTTCACAAACTTTATAAGAGAAAAAGTAATAATGTGGCTTACTTTAGATTTCACTTTTAGCAAGTTTTAAAACTCAAATTGCATTCTTGTCATCTGATCCAATTAAAACAGAATCTAATTTTTAATTTATTAAATTACCATTACAATAGAAATTATTTTAGATCACCTAAAAACAATGTCCATTCAAGGAAATAATTTATTGAGCAGGGTACTTGGTACCCTGAGATGAAAGATGAATGAACTGATGAAAACTGGTCACGTGTTCACTTATAAAACACTTTAATTGATGTCTATAATTTTGTCTCACAAACAAAATCAAAGAAAAATTATTGGTTTCTTCATTATGTTAAACAATTTAAATGTAGCAAAAATTCAAAATTGTTACAAAATAAAAAAAGAATTTGACAGGGTGACCAAACTAAGAAAAAAATATAATCACATATGCATACAGGTGGATAGATAGGATCTACTTTTATAAATGAAAATAATTTGTTAGAAAATAAACTCATTCTTAATAATAATTTGGAATACCACTTTTGTGAGAAGCATATACTTCCATAAAAGTTTAACATATCATAAAAAACATGCCATGAACCAACTTTAAAAGTTGACAGTATTTTAATATAAACTATGTAGCTAAAGCAACTGTATGTGATAATTTTCATTGAGTCACTACTTTCCAGCACATAATATTCAATAAAATATACTTTGAAAACTGGATCAACATAGTAATGTCCTAAAAAAACCTGTTTCTGTGTTGTGAAAGCCCTGAGTTCACCAGGGGAATTGTTGGCCACTAAAGAAAATATTCTTTTTGCCTCCCCACAGACATTTCTGAAATTTTGTGCTGAAATCAGAGCTCCAGGAAAAATGAAAAAAAAAAAGATTTTGATTTTTGAAGATCCAGTCATTATTTCATTACCCCTTTCTTATTCTTTCTAAAATCACATACTAATTTCTACAATTCTTTTCTATCTCCTCCAATTTCCAATATACATGTTTTCCTCCAATTAGCAAACCATCTCATATTGTTCAACACCCCTATCAGTGACTTCTGCAGCATTTCCACAGCACAGGCCATTGACTTCCCCAATCCAACTGCAGCCTCGGCCAGCAGGTACCACGCTGGACTCATTTTCAATTTGAATTGCTCTACTGTGAAGACTTCAAGCTCTAAGATGCATTGTGAAGCCTATCATGTAAAAAGTTATGTACAGTCTAAGACAAATAAAATATACACCGTGTATTCTCTATTCTACTTAAAAAGTGACCATTTCTCTTTTTATTGAATGCCCATAATATCCCTCCTTAACCATGATTTCACTTCTCTTTTGTGGGGAGTCAGTAACCTGAATGCCCTGCTCATACATTCTTTCTCTTCCAGTTACCCTTTCCGTCATGCAGACTTTTTTCTCTTCATCCCTAGTTTGACACTGCTGTAGTGAAAAAGCAAGATGGACAATGCCAGTTTCTCTAGCACCCAGGAGATGAATTTCAGACATCCAGAAAGTTTATTAGCAGGTAAAAATAAAAGGAGCAAGCAGTACCCAGTAAGGCAGATGCAGAGAGGTGGTGCTCAGTTTCACAGAAGTGGGATCGGGCCTTGGGCATCAGTGTGCCGGGTACCCAGCATACCCTACATGCCCAGAGCAGCACACTGAGTGGGCAAGAATTGGTCTCTGAGAAACTCACAGCCACACAAGAGAGAAAACAGAATGAACATGCATATCATGCCAGTGATGGCTGTAGCAGTCATCGTGAGAATAGTAAAGGCTGTAGCAGTATGAAGTGTGCACAACGTACTGATTTCTTAATGAAGTGCTTTACTTTTACTACTTTGACCATTACAATAGCTCCCAAGCTCCTACTTTTATCAGTAAACAAATCAAGACATACAGTGGTTAAGTAACTAACTGCTCAATTTACACAAGTGATAGAAATAAAGTTCTAGTTCTTCTGTAATTCATGAATCTATGTTCCTGGAAAGATAACTAGGTGTTGTAAGTGGGATTTAAAGGATCACGCTGTATGGAAAGAGAGAAAAAGAATGAAAAAGGGTCTTAAAAGATGAAAGTGGGAAGGCCTCTGGCTTGATTTAGGAAGAAATGAACTTCAGTTCTTCACTAAGTCGGGAGGAACGGTGCCACCCAGACAGCAGCAGTTCGGGACAGCTCGTGGCCGGTGAGCAAGCAGGCAGGACAGCGGCTCTGACCTCAACCTGTGAGGACTTCAGGCTCCTTCCTGTTCTTCCCTTGGCCTCAGTTCTCTTGTCTCTAAAAGTGAAGTCATGAAGACTTCATCCATAGAGTGGAAGAAATCAGTATAGCTAATATAGCACATGTAGCTAATCGGTATTCACTTTTTAAAAATTTCTCTCCCAGTAAGGATGAATAAAGATATTCTTTCTGTTTCAAGAGAAAATGTTCTTGATCGTTCCTATTACCACACATTCTAGACTTTTAGCTTGTCTCAGTCTTTTGCACTTGTAATTCCCCCTTCTTCCTAGTCTAAATTATCATAATAGTAATTTTCTTACCCATGCTGTTTAGTTAGCCATGTGTCCACTTCTTGCTTTTTCCAATCATTATTTTAAAAAGATACTTTAAGACTTCCAATTAAAGATATGCAATGTTTGCATTTGAACTTGCATTCTCTCAAAACCCCATT